GCCCAGCCCAGCCCAGCCCAGGAGCGATGCTGTGCCATCTGCTGAACGGGCGCAGCTTGGTCTGAAACGGCTCTTGTCATCGAATATCCGTCCTTGCCTTGAGCGAAGGGCTGTAGAGGAATACTCCTGCCAACTATTCAGACTCCTATAGCCCTATGATGTAGTAAATCCGGCAATCCTTGGCGCTGGCCTTGCGCAGGAAGCCAAGAAAGCCTCAACTTCTGGGATGGGGCTTAGGTCTTAGGGATGTGCCGATTCATTCTTAATTCTATAACCTCCCCCGAACTGCTGAAGCGAAGTCATTGCCTTCCACTTCTGTTCCTTTGAAATTCGACTGCCGATTCATGCATTTTCCCAGCTTTGGCACGGCAAGGTTTCACTTAATCAGCTGAAGGAGATAGGGACGGCCCCCCTGCAGAATCCGTCTGCAAGACATCCCATCACTTCGATACGAAGCCCAACCGACCGATACACCATCCTGCAATAACATCGGATCCAAGGAAAGAGTCATGCTATCCTTGGCTTTCCGTTTATAATGGTGCTACTGTAGTGAAGTACACCCCATCATCGCCAATATGATCCTCCTCGGTCCTAGTCGAGCTCTTAAGACCCATGTTTTTGTCAAGTTGTGCACAACAAAACATCGACAAATGCAAGAAGTGAGAGATCCCAAACCCTAAGCCTCAAATGCGTAAAACCCAGAAAACTTAAATCTTAAATGCTAAGCCTTACCCATAGGCCCTAAAGTAGTTCCTTTTGGGGGTTCATATATAGAATCCTATAAGGTAACCCCAAAAAAGAACTATGGGGCCTTTGGGTATAAACCCTAAACCTAAACCCAATCGAGCCAGGTCGCGGTCTCCTGGGCAAGTTCGTGCTTGGTGAGTGGCCTCTCATCGTCATAGTCATAGTTTCGGGGCGGTAAGAATTAGAATATGGGTACCCATATGGCTCCTTTAAGGAGTTCTATCATGGTTACTATGAGTGATAAGGGCGACTATCAGGCCCTAACTGTTTAAACATTAACTGAGGAGCCTTTGTGGGCCTGCTTTCTACATTCGTCATCCTCGACCAGACTCTATTTGGCTTTAACTTGGACCATTGGTTTAGGGCTTAGGGTTCTCGAGAACTGTTCATAGATCTTGGACCCTGCATTTTGACCCCTACACTACCTCGCCCGCCCTGAGACATGAAAACCCAAGGTTTGAACCTCATCGAGCTGCATACAGACTGCGACTATGCACCTTTGTCAGCTTTGACCTTTAGGGTCTAGGGTTTAGGGTTTAGGGTTTAGGGTCTAAGCCCGACAACGTCGCCCTAAACCCTAAACCCTGCTCTTTCAAGGCAGCACGAAGATCTGCCAGGCTCCGCACACATCCACACTGACGTCGGCACCTGGGACGTGAACGATGAAGGCGGACCATTGGGGGCTTCTGAATATTTGGGATCCCTGTTTAGAAATCCTGATATACAGGATCCTGGTCCTACTACTTAAGATCGAAATTTGGGTCAACTCCCCTGTGGCACGTGGGCGGCTGGAGTTGTAGGGGTCGCACAAGGAACAAGGATAGGGGTTATTGGCGTGGGCTCTGGGTAGAGAGCGGAAATGACACTTTAACCCCCTAAAGCTCCAAATTTCCAGAGCATCCATGACAGTGTAAACGCTGCAACTCTGGAGCTGACAACCTACCCCCAACCCTGAAGCCCTGTGGATGTCTTTGAACAGCCCTTACGCGAGACTCATACTGCAACTTACCCTAACCCGCCAAATACCTACTATATTTACTATATAGGGCGTAGGGGCTCTAGTACCCTATATAGTAGGTACCTGGGGGGTTTGGGTAAAATGGAATGCTAAGCTGATTTCATGTCTAGGCTTGGCACCTCTCTGGCGCCAACGCTGCCGTAGCTGATTCCGTGCTCGCTGCACGGCTGCGGCCACCTCTTACCACACTACCCTACGCCCTGCTCAGCATCGCACTCCGAAAGCCTAGTTCCAACAACCCTAGAAAACAAAAACAAACGCATTCGCGCACACACACACACACACACACACACACACACCTCTACACACACACACACACACACCTCTACACACACACACACACCTCTACACACACACACACACACCTCTACACACACACACACCTCTACACACACACACACACACACCTCTACACACACACACACACACCTCTACACACACACACACACACACACACACACACGCCTGTCCACGAAGGTGACGCAGATCGTCCCCGAAACCGGCACGCTCCCAGCGCTGGGAGAAGCCGCTGGAGCCTTACGGTAAGCTCACACGGACTGTTGTAAGCCTGAAGCTTCGGGGGTTAATTAGCAGAGTTTATGCTTTCAGGTTTAGGGATTAGGGTTTGGGGTTTAAGGTTTATAGGGATTAGGGTTTGGGGTTTAAGGTTTATAGGGATTAGGGTTTGGGGTTTAAGGTTTATAGGGATTAGGGTTTAGGGTTTAGAAGCCAGGAATCAGTTGCCGCAAACATGTCAGGAACCCTTCCCTGGTCTGATGTCTAGAAGGAGTACATACTTTGGGCTAGGACAAGGTCCGGGGATGATGATAGTATAGGGGTCTTAATACTTAGAATAGGGTTTTGGGGTCTACTATACCATAATGATAATCCCCCAAAATGGTATAGGTAACTATTCAGGCCCCTACAATAGTTGTCAGTCTTTGGAGTCTTATTCTCAAGCTTGGGAGCTTCAGGTACTGGCTGCCGCAGGTCAGGAATCGAAACCATGGTATCCCCAACCCTACTGCTGCTGCTACTAGTTTAGGGTTTAGGGTTTAGGGTTTAGGGTTGTACAGAGTGCCGGGAGTTTAGAAGAATTATTTGGGCAAGATTGCCCCGCAATCTCGCAAACTTGGTCTCGCCGACTAGTTTACCTTTTAGACCAAGATTGCGACCAAGATTGCCAAGCAATCTTGCAATCTTGGCCTCCCAAAAGAAAACTAGTCGGCGAGCAAGTGGGGCAAGGCGGGGGGAGGGAGCAAGATTGCAAGCAATCTTGCAATCTTGGTCGTCAAAAGAGGTGGCCTAGTCGTCGAGCAAGTGGAGCAGGGGCTAAATGACCAAGATTGATTGGCGATCTTGCTCCACCCCGCCTGACCAAGATGAACAATATTGCCTAGACGGTTTCGCAAAATAACTGTTCTAAATTCCCGGCACAATGTACTAGTGCTGCTACTGCTACTACTACTACTACTACTACAACTACTACTACTACCACTACTCCCGTGAATAGCTCAGGGCTCGAACGGAATTGCGTAGATTGAACGTGGGCCCTTCCCTCCTCACTGGGCGTTGTCTCAAAACTGGGCCGCTTCAAAGGTGTAGGTTTCCAGGCTGGGTTATATAAATGTAGGGTTAAGGGTTCCCCAGCATGATGAACCCCTAATCCCTAAACCCACCCCTCAAAAAAACACGATACTGCCTGTACACCCTAATGTGCATGGCCAGTGGCTGCTGACGGCGCTGCCAAAGTCGTTAAAGCCTCGAGGCTTTTCGACTTCAGGGTCTTGAAGTAAGACTTCCCCAGAGACTCCCAAAACTCCCCAGTTTTTTAAGGACTATAGATTTGACATTATAGGGGGATTCTGATTCTGATTATGATTGAAGATGAGGTATTATAGTCCTTAATCCTGTGGTTTTGGAATCTCTGGGTCCCAGGTAACAGCTCAGGGTTCAGGGCAGCTTATCCACATCCTATATGGGTGGTTGTCAAAATTATGGTCCCTTTTTGGGTCCTTATTATAGTACGGCACCTATTATTTAGGGTACCCCAAATGGGACCATAATTTTGACAACTACCCATATGGTTGCTTGCAAGAAGTTTGCGGCATGCGCTAGCCTCTATGCCTCGTGCTTGAAGAAACCGACTCTTCAGCGTGGAGTATGGGGACGAAAGAGGCTGAGGGCATCTTACTTTCAGGCGTGAGGGTCCCAGATCAAAGAGAACCCTAAACTCAAAGGGAACCCTAAACCCTAAACCCTAAACTCAAAGGGAACCCTCAACCCCAAACACCTAAACCCTAAACCCTGAACTCAAAGGGAACCCTAAACCCTAAACCCCAAATAGCCTGAATCCAAAAATGCCGGTCCTGAAGGGCTTCTCGGTACATAGTTCTACGATCATACATCCCAATTAGGGTTTAGGGTTTAGGGTTTTTCGGGCTTAGGGCTCTAATTCTTCACGCCGTAATGTCCACCCTGGGCGCATGGTCAGGTTCTCGCGATGTCGGCTTCGGTTGCTCAGGGCCCTTGGTGTAATATAGGGGCCTTAATAATTAGAACAACATGCGAAATATCATAGTAAGGAACACCCAAAAATATCATAATAAGGAACATCCAAAATATCATCATGAGGAACACCAAAAATATCATAATAAGGACAACTCAAAATATCATAATAAGGAACACCCAAAATATCATAGTAAGGAACACCCAAACCATCATAATAAGGAACACCCAAAATATCATAATAGGGAACACCCACAATATCATAATAAGGAACACGCACAATATTATAGGTAATTATTGAGGCCCCTATATCAAGCCGGGCTGCGGAAACCGGACTCGACGCGATGACTCTCCTCAGGGATGGGCAAACTGGGCACCGCGTGAATGCGTGAGGATTTCGGGTTTAGGGTTTAGGGATTTCGGCTTTAGGGTTCAGGGTGGGGCTTCGACGGTTTAGGGTTAACAGCTTGAAGTCCTGGATATCTGCCCAACCGGCAGTGTTAGAAACGGCAGTAGTGGCAGGAATAAATACAGAACAGCAGTTGTGGGTGAAGGGTTCGGTTTAACGGCTCTGGAGCTGGTAGGTTCAAGAATCAGAGCTGTATGTGGGCAGTTCTCTAAATCAGGCCCGTTTAGCCCGGATAGGTCTGTCAGAACCAATCTGCTAGAGTTCCGTAAGTCTGGAGACTTGTGTTCCGTGGCCCCGGTCGAAGTTTGAGACCCTCAACTCTCGCCGTCTGCCTTTTTGCTTTGCCAAGGGGCAATCTCGCGTTCGTACAGCCAGCGCCTCGTCTTTCGGCTTCCCTAAACCCAAACCCCTTGTAGTAATATAACATAACATAACCCCTATTGTAACCCTTGCAGACACATTGAGCAAGGTTACCCGCGCAGCCACGAAGCTCTAAGCAAGCGTAAGACTGGACAAGGGAAACACAAACAGCCACGAAAGCTCCATCAGCCACGAGACAAGTCTGGGTTTGGCTTTGCGTGTTAGGCGCTTTTGGCTCTAGGTTTATAGTGTTTTGGGGCTGGCAGGGTTGCTTGCACTTTCCTCGGCTGCGGCTTTTAACGCAACTACAAAGCCGACTCATGTAATGTAGGGGCCTGAATGATGAGAATAGGGTCTTGGGGCCCATTTATACTTTAATTATACTAAGGAACCCCTCAAAATAGTATTGGTAACTATTTCGGCCCCTATAGTACTGGCCACAGAAACTGCACATGAGCCATCAATCGCAGAGCAGAGCGAATATCCACAGGCCCGGGACACGGCTGTTTTCCCTAAGGGTCCAAGTACCTAATAATCATATACTCTCCCAAATAGTAACCTACATAACTACTATCCGAAACCTAAGTACCTGATTATTGGGTCCTTTGGACCCTTGCGGTTTTGTTCGGAGCCATGTTGACTAGCGACCCATCTCTTTAGGATCTAATTCTTCCGAGCTGTGAGGTTTAGGATTTTCGGGTTTTGGGCTTTAGGTTTTAGGGTTTAGGGTTTAGGTTTAGGGTTTAAAGGGTTTAGGATTTTCGGGTTCTGGGTTCTAGGGCTTCGAGCAGCTCACTCGAGCGACTGGGACATGAGAAGCATGGGAAGCAATGGGAGGTGCATATCACGACGATCTAGGTCTCCTACTGTTGATGGACAAGATCCTGCATGACCTTATATACCTAAACTATGGGATTTATGGTACTATACTATATTTGGGTCATGCAGAATTTCGTCCATCAGCCGTAGCACCTTGCTCATGATAGACCTGTTGTCATGAACCCTGCCTATACCCACAGGCCCCATAGTAGTTCCTTTTTGGGGGTTCATAGTTTAGAATCCTATAAGGTAACCCCAAGAAGGAACTACTATGGGGCCTATGGGTACTGTTCCTCTCTGAGTTTTGCTTTGGCTGCACTACACTAATTATGATACTACACTAACTATGATACTACACTAATTATGATACTACACTAACTATGATACTACACTAATTATGACACTACACGAACTATCCTGCGAACCCCCAGCTCCTGCTCTTCGAACCGTGTTGAAGCTCCAAGCTTGCATCCAACATCAAACGCCAAGAGGCTGTGTATTATATATATATATATATGGGTTTAGGGTTTAGGGTTGAGGGTTGAGGGTTGAGGGTTTAGGGTTTAGGGTTTAGGGTTTAGGGTTTAATATATGGGTAGTTGTCAAAATTGTGGTCCCTTTTTGGGTCCTTATTATAAGACGGCACCTATTATTCTAGGGTACCCCAAAGGGGACCCTAATTTTGACAACTACCCATATACACAATACACCTATATAACATTTATCTGAACCCCCCCAATGAAACATCCAAGCAAGCTTAAGCCTCAAGAGAGCTCATGACGACTCGGCGCCCTCGGAACCCCAGCAGCTTGTTCTGGGAGCCACGCTTTGACTTGTGCCATGACTTCGCCTGGCTCAGATGTATGCTGCTTAGAAGTTGTTTAGGGTTAAGGGTTTAGGGTTTAGGGTTCAGGGTTAAGGGTTTAGGGTTCAGGGTTCAGGGTTAAGGGCTTAGGGTTTAGGTTAATTTCAGGCAGAACCGGGCTCAACAATCAACGTGAAAGATGCTGAGGGGGCAGACTGCAATGAACAAACTGTGCTCAGGAGATTTTTTCCACCGGGTGGGTAAATTTTACTGACAAAAACCTGAAGTTATGCAAGGCCGAGAAGGCAAGACTATTACTAATTACTCCGATCTGTTTCTCTGATCCCAACGCCGACCCCAAACCCATGTTCCTATTCCAAGGGGTCGAGGATGTAAACCCTAAGCCCTAAATCCTAAACCCTAAGCCCTAAACCCCAAACCCTGAGGTCCTACAGCCTTCAAAGCCCAATAGAGCCAGGAACCTGGTTAACTTGAAACCCAGCGTAAACCCCAGCCTGTGAATTACCAGCAGCCCTAGAAACCCAAAGCTCCTCAACAAATCAAGGTAGGGTTTGAGGGATTAGGGTGTAGCGTTTACGGTTTCGAGTTTCAGTCAGGCCTTAACCAATCCAAAACCCCAAACCCTAAACCCTAAACCAGAAAACCCAACTATCCCTTTTCGGTGCCTCCTCCAGGAACACCTGAAGAAGATGATCGGCAAAAGGCTCCGGAACCACGTTCGGCACGAAGGATACCGGCACCTCTATGACTATGTTTTTAGGGTTTAGGATTTACCTAAACCCCCAAAAGTAGGTAAATAACGGCCCAAGGCCCATAAAGGGCTATTATATTACATACTTTTGGGGTCCAGGTATAGGGTATATGGCTATGAACTCCGCTTTTCGTTTTTTTTGGCTTCGAGCCTGGGATGCGGGGTTTGATGCTTGGGCTTCGAGGTGCCAGGATGAAGGTGCTATTTGGAGGGTTTAGGGTTTAGGATTTAGGGTTTAGGGATGAGGCATTCGGGGTAGCAGCCGGGTAGTACGGAAGCTTTCGCGTTCAGACGAGATGTAAACGAGAGACGGAGCAAGAACTCAAGGACAATCGTGAGTACATAGTTGAAATGCATCTTCCCTCATCTTTCAAGGTACATCCAAGCCCCCGAGGTTTGAGAACATTTTGGAACGAGGGCACGGCATCGCTGGACGCCAACAGAGCAAACCGGTCCAATGCGAATTGAACGCTCAAGGCCTAAATGCTTTACCGAGGCGCCATGCGCTCGAGCTCATCGATGGTCGTCAGCTTCGTGGTAGAACCACCTCAGCTTCCACCTAAACCCAAACACCCCAAACCACTTGCAGTTTCTACACGTCCCAACAGGTTCCAAAAGACCAGGAACCAACATGCCGCCTTCAACGATGCCTACGTACCCTGCGTTCACTGCTGACAGGTTGGACTCTTCTTGAGTTCAAGGGCAGGGTGTGGGGTTTAGAGTTTAGGAGTTCAGGGGATCTAAGGTCTTAGTCTAGTATCTGGATTTTGTATATAGGAAATCAGGTATGTTGGTCAGCTCGGTGTCTGTATGTGTGTACGTGCCACGATGAGTTTCTGTGTATGTGTAATTAACTGTTGCATTCTTCTTCTGTTCATGCATAAGTCTCGGTACAAACATGCGTATACGTGCGCACCAAGCTTCGTGGAAGCATGCATGTAGACGCAAAAGGCGAAGCTGTCTTATGGAAAACTCAACGTCTTGGAATTCCAGGTCGAGGCCGTTCTGTAATTCAAGCACCCCATCTCTACTGCGATCTTGCCCATGGGACTGTGAAATTTCAGTACCCATGTGTAGGCACTTCGCTGAAACTGCTCTAGTTTTTTCAGCCTCGCGTGATACACTGACGGTCAAGCTCACCTACATGCATGATGAATGCATGCTTAAAATGAAGTGAGGGGGCTTCCGAAATGTTGTTGACATGTGCCGCTCATCCGGACACCCCATCTGCTAGAGTACACGAGGTTCAGTTCAAAAGCCACCACACGATGCCACTGCATGTCTTTGCGTCTCTACTGCCTGACCTGTTGCATCACACCTGTCGCGGCCGCTGTCGAAGCTGATTGGCCATGAAATAGAAGCCTCCGGCTCCTGCAGTCATGCCCTGCTGGATCACATGCAGAAGATAGTCTGGAGATGTGCCCTGGTCATCCAGCCATCCGAAAGCAGCAAATGCAAGACCGGTACCAATGAGGAAGACATCGACCTGTCTAAACTGAGCCAGATCGACTTGGTATCTTTGGAACATACGCTGCACACACCATGCAGCAATGCCGCCGCAAACTGACGAGCAAAGGCAAAAGGCCCAAATGCTTGCTGTCTGGTGGCTTGCGTGATCCTCTACACAACCAGGATCTTTGGACGATTGCACCGTACTTTCCAGGCCACTCGCAGTGGATTTCTGGGGGCTTGCGCGATCCGCGGGACCAGCAGGATGTTTGGACATGGACGAATGCACTCCATCTTCCGGCCCGTCCCTGGCAGTCAAACTGCAGGCGAAAGACATGATCTGGACATCGATCATCCTGAATTCGAAGCAGACTCGGCGCAGGGCTTGGGCTCGGTGGGGGGCATAGCTGGCTGCTCCCTGCCCCATGGTGTCGGACTTTTCTTGGCTGTGTGGTCCCCGGTCTCCTTCTGATTGGCGGAGTCCGTCTGCCGCGGAATGGCCAGCTCGGTGGGAATCCTGAAGGGGCTCATCGCCCGGGCCTTCTGAAGCTCGGCTGCACCCTTGGCTTCCAGCTTGTCGTCCAGCGAAGGCCCTGACACAGACGGCTTGACCTTGGAGCTGGAAATCCCTGGCGACGCAACTCGTCGGAGACGTTGACTTGGCGATCCCTAGTGCGCTCCCGTCGGTGCCTCTGCCCCGAAGGCCACGGCAAAATCTGCTGATCCAGCTGCCATGAAAGGGGGAGGTGCAGGCAGAAACATGGAGGGAAGGCAGCATCTTCTGCGAACCTGCCTCTTGAACCTGATTCTCGGGGAAGGCTGCTGGCATGCCCCTGCCCGTGGAGCAGACCCGGGCTCCTCGAACCGCTACACGCTTCGGTGTCTCCGGGGCAGGAATGAAGGGGTGGACCCAGATTCGGGAGTCGAAGGGTCGTGCCATCACGATTGCAGAAGAAACAACTGTGAGCAGGACTGCATGCCGCTTTCCGCCCATGGCACGCGTGTGTGCGAGAGGAATCACACCCACAGGCTGGAGCAACAGGCGGCTGGACGGCGAGACGACACACATCCCTCCCTTTCGTAGCTTCACTGCAGCCCATACGAGAGTTCACGAGTACCCCAGCATGGCCGCAAAATCTCGCAAGCCCTTACATAACCCGAAACCATAAGCAAGCCGAGCCGATACCAGCTTCACACTGTTCGCTGGCTACGAGCAGCGCAAACTTCGAAATCGAACTGCAACCGCCAAGCCACCTTTGCCGGGACGTCCAGCAAGTGTGACCTGAACGATCACAGCTCCTTTACCCAACTGGACCAAGCTCTCTGAACCGTGGATCTATACGACCAACATATATACAAATATATAATACATACGTCTGTCTGTCTGTCTGTCTGTCTGTCTGTCTGTCTGTCTGTCTGTCTCTGTCAGTCTGTCAGTCAGTCAGTCAGTCAGGCAGTCAGTCAGTCAGTCAGTCTGTCTGTCTGTCTGTCTTTCTGTCTGTCTGTATGTGTATCTAGCAATGTCCAATATAAGACGCCCAACCTGCCCAAGATCTAGGCTTCAAACCTCCTCCTGCAAGCACCCAAAGCTCTGGCTCTAAGCGATCTTGCTCTCCTCAGGTTCTCCGCCTTCTTCCGAAAAGTAAACCCGGCAACCCCCATTCCTAAACCCAAAACCTCAAGCCCCTTAACCTACGCCCTAAGCCCCAAGCATGTCTACATGGTGCTTTGAGACCGAACAGACCGAGAACCTCCATCAAAGCAGCCTCCCTCCGTTCAGTTGAGCTTAGATGAAGGGTGACATTTCAGGCCTTCAGGTTGAGGGTGTAGTTCAGAGTTTGGGTTTAGGGTTTAGGGTTTAGGGTTTAGGGTTTAGGGTTTAGGGCTCAGGGGCTATAGGGTGGTCTTAGCGGGTACTACTGTTCAGCAGAGCTACACTTAGAGGATCATGGGACGTAATAACTAAGTTATATAAATACGGCAACTATAGTTATATCTAATTAACCCTAAGCCCTATTATAGGGTGGTATTAACAAGTACTACTGCTCAGCAGAGTTAGAGGGGTACTACTTACACCTACCACCTTCTCGGTTCACAAAATAACCCTTGAAAGACTAGGTCCGAAATTTTCTGCCACAAGCCGAAACGCCGGAACCCTAAAGTGAAGTGAACCTCCATATTCTAAGGACCGAGATTCCTAGATCATGTTGACAGGGTTGTTTGGGGTATGGCACACCATAACCATCATGAGAAACCCTCAGGATCAGTATTCGTAAATATGTATGGCCCTACAGAAATCACCCCCTTCAGCCCTCAACCAAAGGCCCGGGTTAAACACCTGAGACTCACCACCTCTCCAAGGTTGGAGTGGCGGGTTTAGGGTTCCCTGTTGGCGCTACATTAAAAACCATCACGTTTGCTCCTTATTGGGGTTTGTTGGAACAAAAAGGTAAAGCTGTAGCCAACTAGGACCGCACTGTACATAGGCGCTTAGAATAGGCTTTTGGGAAGACTCCAAAGTCAAAGTCACCTTGTGGCACGGTGGTCCTAAACTCTTCCGACCCCCCGCCATGTGGGCACAGAGTGCCCGGGCAAACACGTCCACATCTTGAGCAGAGGTTGTCTCCTGCAACATGGCTGGAAAGCAGCAGGGCTTCAGCTTCCATGTCTCGTGTTGAGGACTCGTGTTGAGGATCGAAGTGAAACTCGTTGGCCATCGCTTCATTTCTGGCTTGGCCCATGGAGAAGTCCCTTGAAATCTCAGATTATCTATCCCTCTCTCTTCCTTCGACTCTCAGCCCACCGCCACAAGAGCTTCACTGGGGGCTTTAAATTCTTCAAAGTTGGGCTCAACCTCGTACGGTTACAGTTACTAGGAATGGCCTACTAGTAACATGGGTCAACGTTGGGTTCAACCTCGGACAGTAACAGGTACCAGAAAGGGCCCAGAAATCCACTCATTGAGGGGAGAGCTGCTTCCGGATTGACCCATTTTTGGACGGAGGCTTGCAGAATTGCGAGGCATCCAGCAGCAGCAACACGCCGCCCGAGTCTTCCAAACTTAATAGAAGTCAACAACGCAAAAGCAGTAAACCCCAAACCCTACACCCTGAACCCTTGAACCCTAAGCCCTGAACCCTGGAGCCCCAGACCCTGAACCCTGAACCCTGAACCCTAAGCGCTGAATCTGGCAGCCGAAGTGGCTGTGAAGACGTCAGTTCGACAAGTTTCAACCACAACACCAGCAACTGAAAGCTCGCAATGGTTTTTCTGACGACCGCTAAGCGAAACGGTACTGCTATAATGCATGGAGAACTTTGGGTTTGGGGCTTTGGGAATCTGGACCCTAAACCCTAAACCCTATCCATAAACCCAGACTTTCACTACCTGAAGGGGCGCAAGCCATGACATGGACCCAGATCAAAACTCCACAGCACCCACACCCAGCGCAAATCCCCGGCCTTTCCGGCCAAGTCTGCTGCTAGGGGCAGCGCCGGAGGCTGAAACCTGATTCTGTTATGGGATTTACCTTGGGATAGTTCTCTGCATTGCGGTCGCGTTGTGATCCCTCTCTAGAAATACCAGCCAGGAAACGTTCAAAACTATGCTGTAAGTTCGAGTTCAAGAAACTTATGCCAAGTCAGCTTTGGTGGCGACGGGCTATATGAAACCAAATCTTCTACTCAGTCCTATAAAGCATGAAACGCCCGATTCACGGGGCCTTGTGCTGTTCTAGGGCAAGGACGACTAGGATTGCGGACATTTGCTCTAGGCTATGGAGGCTTTGTGCAGGGACCTGAAAGATTAGACGAACAGAGCTTTGAGGGGGTATATGTAATGCGGGATATTGGGCTATAGCTTTAGAAGGAGTCTAAAGGGATGCCGCTGCTATGTCTCCAGCCTTATAAAGCCCCTTATACTACTCTACTCCACCCCTTAGCTTATGCCATCCGAGATGCATGAAGGACGGCACTGGCGGCCGCTTGACCCGCTTCCGGGGCACAGCCGCCTCCATGGATCTTGATTTGATGGCTTTGGGTTTCGCATGGCCTGCTGTTGCGGAAAAGGGTTCATGACTTAAAGCTATGAAGAGTTCTCAAAAGGCCCCGGATCCTTTTCGCGGTCTCGCAACCCCACAGCCTCACAATTAACGTTTCCTTAAAGACCAAAGGACCCTAAAAGTAAGGGTCCTATAACCCTTATACCATGAATCCCTACATGGTGTTTCCACCCTTTTAGGGTTCATGTCGTCCTTAAGGCTCAAGATACTGATGCCGGCATACACGCGCCTGTGTGGGCTGTGGGTGCGCGAAGAAATCCCACCGGGTTCCTCGAAATGTTTGTAGCGCAAATACTGGCCCTAGTATAGAAGACGGAAAAGGACCTTAATAATTAGAATAGGGTTGGGGGGTATATTATACTATAATTACAATAAGGAGCCCCCGAAAGCTTATTCTAATTGTTAGGGCCCCTACATTAACGACTCAATTCAAGTGGTGCAGGGGCCAGTGACGAACCCGAACGACACGCAGCCCCACTTTACTGCTCAGTTGATTTCGCAATGCAGCCAGATGGGTTATCGTAATGACTGCAAGGGGTTTCAAGCCCAACCTTTAGTAATGGCAGGATCATAGAAACCCGAACGGGCTAAAGAGTAACCCCTCAGCCACAAAGTCAGGGATACTGAGTGGACTTGCTAGGTCCGAAAAGCCTCCCACAACAAAACGTAATAGTATTCATTCATGTTTCTAGACACTTTTCGTTTTGGGGACCCCGAAGCTCTATTGAAATCTTAAGGCTTAGTAGAACCCACATGGCCTTTTTCTCCACCGATGTGTTGGGAGTGGTGCCTTGGCTAGGAGTCAGGTTCTGGAAAGTTCTAGGGTTTAGGGTCTAGGGACTGTTCACAAAAAGAAAAGTACACAAACAGCCTCAAGTTGAGCTCACTCAATCCTTGACTTCAGAACCCCCCGTGGTGTCCTATTGCGGTAAAGGGTATAGGGTATAGGATATCCGGCTTGGGGTTTGGGGTTTCGGGTTTGGGGCTTAGGGTTTGCGGTTTCGGGTTTCAGGTGCTGTTTAGGGTATAGGGGTAAGGATTCGGGGTTAGGATTTCGAGTGCAGACTACAGGGTACCGACTATGGGGTGCAGGGTACAGGGAGCAGTGCACAGCGCACAGCCTTTGAGGGAAAGGGTATAGGGCACAGGGTTTTTGAGTATAGGTTGTGGCATATAGGATGAAGGGCATAGGGTTTAGGCTGATGCAGACTTCCAAACAAGGTGGGGCCTTCTCAACCCGCTCAGAACCCTGGCTATGTGCCCTGATCACTCGGCTACCCATAGACCCATACACCTAAAAATCCAAAACGCTAAACCCTGAACCCTGAAACCCTCAAACCTAAGCTTCTTGTGCCAGCCCAAGTTTTCTCTAAGTTTGCAGAGTCCCTTGCACCCTCAACCCCAAACCCTAGACCCTCAACCCTAAACCCTAGACCCTAAACTGTTCAGATTTGGGGCATGGGAAGGAAATGCCCCCACAACGCTTGGGTCATGCGGACTAAGGGTGTTTCGTATTCGGCAGTGCTATAGTCCACTTTTGAGGAAGGACGGGCGCATTTACAAGTCGTCAGATGGACCTGTCCGTCTCTGCTAAGACCGCTGATCATCCATTTCTACTTTCAGGAAGTGTTTTCCAAGGTCTTTTCCAAGCACTCAATCCTAGAGCCTAGACCTAAACCACAAGTCCTTTTCAACGGGAGCCACCCACTTTGCAGACAGCCGCTTCCATCGGAGAACGTATTTGGAGGTCCAGCGTACTTATGCACTAATTACAAGTGTACTTACAACCCAGTTACAACCCAGAAAACTGCATTTAGCGAGCTTGTACTTGGCTTTTAAGTACAGTCAGAAATGAAATATAAAGTACTGTACCCTGGACCCTGGACCTCCAAGTACTGTCAGTAGCTCCGACAAAAATCGGAGGCGAGGCTACCCTGATGTCGAGAGGCTCTAGCCCTGCTTCGGTGGAAGGGCAACTTCGAAAGCATGGTTGGTGGGGTTGAATTCCCCAAGCTAGGTGTTTAGATTTTAGGGTTCAGGGCTCACGGTTTATGGTTTAGGGTTTCATTGTTTAGGATCAAGGTTCTCCTTGTCGAGGTTGCAAAAAACACTTGCGGGCTTCTAGAATTGAAGGTACTTTAAAAGACCCAACATATACAGAGTAAGAACACTGATGATCGCATGGACCCAGCTGGCAAACTGAAGAGATACCCACAGAAATCATTCGTCGTTCATCTCCCACATTTTGTGGTTTACAGTAGTCCGGCAGAGCACACCTCGCCACAAGGATCTGCACATCGCCTCCGCGTAAGTCGTTCGCAATGCCCAGGAGGTTCCCCGACAAGGATCTCAAGATCATCTCGCAAGAGACTGTGGCGCCTACACATCTGGAGCTTATGCAAAAGGGATGTTGCATTTTTGGAGGTTCATGATAAGTATCGTGAAAAATGTGAGGTTGATCCAGGGGTCCTATGAAACTCTCGCGGGGAAAAACAACTATCTATGCATGATAGGCCAGAATGATTGTCCATTCTTTCTACAGGTATACACAAGTTGTGGAGACGCTGGGATTAGTAGTAGAAGTAGTAGTAGTAGTAGTAGTAGTAGTAGTAGTAGTAGTAGTAGTAGTGGTAGTGGTAGTAGTAGTAGTAGTAGTAGTAGTAGTAGTAGTTTTAAAACAGTACAGTACGTAGTAGTAAGAAGGAGTAGCAACTCTTTCAAGAAATACCCCAAAGCCTGGACCTCCAAGTGCAAAACTGTCCTCGTTGGCCGACGTTCCGGGCCCTTTCAGGTCCGGTGCAGCTGTGGGTGAAACAGGTGGCCATGGTGGGCAGTGGTGGTAACAACCCCTTGAGGGTTTAGGGTTGAGAGTTTAGGTTTGGGGCTTAGGGTTCAACAAGAAAACTACTAATACTGGATAGAGCACTAGTCGTACAGCAAAACACTAAAAAAAGCATTGGTAGCAGTGCGAAGCTTATCACTGCATCAATAGAAGTACTACCAATCGTACCAGTAGAATCATGTCCCAGACTCTTGAAATAATGCCAGATTCCCAACCGAACGAACCACACCATGTCCCGAATCCAAAGAATCCAATACCTGGTGCTGATCTGTGTGCATTGCTTTTGAAGGCGCACGCAGATTGAGCCCTGCAGTTCCCACAAACTCTAGGCTCGAACACTAAAGACTTACTGTAATCCTGCACCCTAAACTCCAAATCCTAAACCCCTGCACCCCAAAGCCTAAACTCCACTGCACCTGTTTAGTCCTGGACGGTCTGGATTCTGCTTGGCAGAACGGCCCGCAAGGACATCCAACCCTCCATTTCGGATCTTGGGGGTCAGAAATCACACTCGTCGGTATGCCACCAAGTACTCTGGGTAGACACGGTCGCCTGCGAAAACCACAATCTCCCGGAAGCGGGCCACCCGCCCCACCACCCGGGCCACCGCCCGGAGGGGCGAGTGGCGGGGCGAGTGAGGGGTCGCGGGGAGGGGCGCGCTGTGACTTGTCCCAGTGCCCGGGTTCACAAGGAGCGTGTGATACGAAAAGGATGGCGAAGTGCCTGGCACCCTGGAGAGCTCCCGACGTTCTGGGGTCAGAAAGACGCTCCGACCCGTCGTTTTATCTCGAAGCCCTTCTTTGTCGAGGCCTTCCGTTTGGAAGCAAGCCCCACAGCAGGCTCGGACAATGAAGCAGTAGAACATATCCTCGTCGGGGCGTCTGTTTCCAAATGCGCGGTAGAGTCGAGGGTGCAAATCCTCCAAGCCTGAAGTCCGCGCGTCTGGGCGGGTGTGCTGATCGATCTTCTCGGGATCTTCCGCCAAGTAGATGCCGGCTCCGAAAGGACCTGGGAGCTTGCCGAAAAGGGCACCCTTTGTATTTAGATACACTAGTCACTAGAATCACTAGAATGCCTGTGACGAAGCCTCCCATAAAACCCTATTTCGAGTACCCTAAGTTCCCCTTAGCTAAGAATCCCCATCACAAAGACACCCTAAACCGCTGTTTTCCGCAAGAAGCCCACCTTTCAAACTGGCCTTCTCGGTGAAGCCCCGGTGGAGGACCTCCAGCAGAGGCTCTGGATTGGTTCCATGTAGCAGGTATCGCTCTCCCACCTCCTTCAGGTTTTAGGGTTTAGGGTTACCCTTAGCTGGGCTCTTGTGAAGGAATTTAAATCAATTCAGCTACCACCACAGGGATTTATAACATATAAGTATTAATGGTCTCCTTATTGCGGTGACTTAAAGTATCTTAAATTCCTGAACAAGAACCCACGAAACCCTAAACCCTACACCCAAGAAGCCCTAAACCCTAAACCCTAAACCGTCAAAATCCGCAACCCAAACCCCTAAACACTGAACCCCAAACCCAAACCTCTAACCCCCCAGAGTCCAAAATCACTTCCCTAAACTTCCCCGACTTTCGCTCCTCGGTGTAGAGCGTCCCCGGCATGGCCAGGTTAGCGTCTTCGAGTCTGCTTGTCCAAGGCTTCAAGGCGATGCCTCCTCTTCCTTAGACTTAGACTTAAGCAAAAAGTGCGGCTTAGGATGTAGGGTGTAGGGTTTGGGGTTTAGGGCTTCAGACCCTGACGGGATGGGCTTATGCAGTGTGAGTTTTTATGTTCATCATGTTCTTGAAATATTTTTTGGAGAAGACATGCCAAAGAAAGTACCCACAATGGCAAAAATGGCAACCCAAGTTTCGAATCTGGTTCATGTGCCAAAGCACTTTGTTTCGCTCAGCGGCATACTTGGTCCAGCAGCAGTCGTGTTGGATTCGCCAAGCACAATGCACTGCCAAGGTGGAATATGCACGGTCATAGGACGTGGCGCCTCCTCCCCTACCAAGCTCTTTCGAAGACTTGACAGTGAACATCGCCTTGATCGCCTTCAAGGTCGCATCGTCCACAGGATACAGCTTCCAGCCCTGGTCCAACGGAATGAGCTCATCCGACCAGTGCTGTGGCTGGCTGATTGGCAGCTTGCCTACGGCGACCTCAACCACGCAGGGCTTCAGACCGCGCTCAGGCGCCACAGCTGCCCTGGCCCTGGCGTTTCGCATGACTCCCCATGCACCCGCACCCACGCCAACCATTAAGCTGACAATTCCAATGAGCACAACGAAGCCAATGTCCATACTGGAAGCACTGGTGTCCGCCACCAATTCTTCCACAGCAGCAGCAGTGGCTCCGCCATCTGTCGTGGCCGGGGCTGACGTCGTTGTAAGAGTGGCAGTGGCGCTGACAGTGCTCCTCGTGGTAGTGACAGTGGTTAGCGTGGCACTCAAAGAAGTGCTGGTTGT